ATCCGCAAGCGAGCTCGATCCATCCACGTAGGCGAGCCCTTCTCTCCCGCAAGCAACGCCGTCGAGCTCCGATCTCCCGCAGGTCCGTTCTTCTTCAGCTTTTCCCTCCCAAGACACCCTCATATTAAGAGCATTTCGTTATCTGCCATGCAGAAAGAGATATGAGAGTGTTTGTTCCTTGTTTTCCTCATAGAAGTGTTTACTGGTGGCTGTACCAGATGAAACATCATAACAGAGAACTACAAGGCATTATCTAAACAACTCTTTCCAATCCCTAATGCAGATCAAGAGCAGTATCAGTGAGATTAAAGGTCATAACCATGACTTAACTAAGTAAACTTATATAGCTTAATTCTTTTCGCCCTTGTTAAACTGTTATATACTGGGAGGCTACGAACCTGCTCACCCGACCATCCATATGTGGATATATATATGAGCCTTGCAGGTTCAATCCTTGAGCATGGCTAGAGACATATCACATTACACACAGGTTACATTTTGTTCATTTTGTTAATAAACCCTTTAAGTTGGTTGTATACATGATGCATGGATTGAATCAAGTAAAAACACAGCAGAAGGATTAATACACGTGCAAGATTTATTCACCATCGACAGATGTTCAACATATCAATTAGCACCGGCGACAGATGTTCAACGTATATCACCAACTCGCACCTATATATTCACCACCATACCTCTCCAGCCATCAACATGTTCAACATATTCCTACCATGGCTAAATTCTATTTTCTCTTTCTCACTCTCCTCGTCCCCTCCTTCCTATCCGCCGCTCGTCATGCAAGAAACAGAGATCACCGGTGTCACCTGGATAAGTTGACAGTATCTTATCCATCGAACAAGACGGTGGCTGAAGCAGGCGTGCTCGAGCAATGGGACGAGGAAGAAGATCAAATGCGTTGTGCTGGAGTGACGGCCCTCAGGATCACTCTCGGACAGCGGGGCTTGTCCCTCCAGAATTTTGACCCCATGCCCCGAATTTCCTACATCCTTAAAAGGCAAAGCTGTAGTAGGAATTTCATATCCTTGGTGTCCCTCGACATTTCACTCAGATGAGTCAGGTGACGGATACCAGAAAGTCCAAAGGGTCAAGAAGGGTGACCTCGTGGCTGTTCCACCTGGTGCAGCTAGCGCACTGGTGCTACAATGATGGCGATGAAGAGCTTGTTGCCATAACAATTACAGATCTCAACAGTAGACTGAACCAGCTGGATCCTAGTTTCAAGGTCATTGCCAACACCTCTCTAGGCAGAGGGTAGGCTTGGTTGATTGGTGATGACTTAGATATTGATCTATAATTTTTCTTTTTAATTAGCAGACGATATATCTTGCTGGTGACTTGCCAGGCTTTAAGGAGGAGCTACAAGGTCAATGCAGGCAGACAAACGTAATCGCTGCATTCGACAGAGTTCATGGCAGAAGCCATAGGGATTCTGGTGGATCTGATGAGGAAGATTCAGAGGAAAGAAGAGAGAGGAGTTCTAGTGAATGTGGAGGAAGAGATGAGGACCATCGTGCCTGACGAGGAGCAAGAAGGAAGGGATGTGAGGGTCAACAAGGAGATGGGAAACAATGGGAATGAGACGAACGGGGAGTTTTGCAGTATCAGGCTTCTGCAGGCTATTGATAGGATAGGAGATGCAGATGTGTTCTCCAAGAAGGCCGGCTGGCTGAACAAAATAACCGAGGACAAGCTCCCCTTACTCAGGCTCGTGGATCTAAGCGCAGAGAAGGGAAGTCTTCAACCGGTATATGTCACAATTCTCTTATCACTTCTCTCTAATCTATCTGCATAGATCTATTAACTAATTTGTAAACCTAGGAGGGCATTACAGGGGTTCAAATCTGAACTACATCTCGCAGATTTCTCTCTATGCTCGTTTGGTTTACAAAAGATTGAAGTGCTGGAAAGTATCGATTTATGACAACAGATAATCATCAGACCAGAAAATCACAAATGTCTTCATTATTTCCTATCAAGAAAAGAAGTTACATTGCAAACTAGGCACCCCACTAATAATATTAACTGGCCATCTTCTATATTGGACTAATAATATTTGACAGACAACAAATATTCACATCCAGAGTCATTCAAGGCCATTTGTCCTGTCATACTCATTTATGTTTCAGTTTGATACTAAGAACTCTTTCAAAAAAAAAAAAAAATCCACCATACTAAATTTATTAAAGTTTTATGAACTATTTTGAACTTAATTACTACGATTAGAGACTCTTTCAGTATTTCTAACATCAGCGTGACTGACATTGAACAATCACAGAATGCCTTCCTTGTGCCTCACTGGTCAGTTAATGCACACTCCATCATCTATGTGACCCAAGGAGAAGGCCACCTACAGGTGGTTGACAACCAAGGAAGGGGGGTCTTCAACGTAAACATAAAACAGGGGCAGCTAACTGTAGTTCCTCAGTACTATGCTTGCATGATAAGGGCTGGAAGTAGCGGCATCAACTGGGTAACTTTCATGACCTCGTCGCAGCCAATGAGGACCCCAATCGTAGGTCGCTTATCAACCTTCACAGCTTTGCCACTCCAGCCGATGGCCAACTCCTACCGCATCCCCATTACCCAAGCTTTAGAGCTCAAGTTCAATAGGGACCATGACGAGATGCTTTTCCCTCCCACAACAACCTCCTACCAGACCACTGAGTAGTCCTGGTTAACTGTAAGTATGTTTTGGAAGTATTTTTGCACTTTCCTTTTGTTAACTTGGGAAAAAGGGAAAAAAAATTGAAAGGATTAAACTTATTATTTTATGAAGAAACCCTATTTATACAAAGTTTTATTTCTTTTATTTTGCGATCCCTCTTAGGCCTGTATTGTGCTCACTCGTATGCCATGTATAGGAACTAAATCCAACGGTATTCACAGATACACGATGAATGTCTTGATTCCTGTATCCCCAACTGAAAGGGTTCTAAAAATGAGAAGCTTGGACTGCAAAAATTAGAAAACATTTAAGATTACAACTTCTAAGTTCTAACCATAGCCAGATATTCAGATGTCAGAAAACAATTTATAAAAGAAAACCTACAATGCAAGAATCATCAGCAAAGTAACTTCAACTGAAAACACTGACTTCTAGAAAGACCATAATTTCAACAAAACGTAAATAGTTTGACAACCAGGACTACGCCGCATATAGTTTCAGAGGGATCTTGAGTAAAGAGAGCTTAGCTAACTGCAAGCTTGGTTGGCTTGTTCGAAACTCTTGGCTTGGGACTCAGCTGCACCCTCGGAGACGAGAGCTTCTAAGAGCAGGCTCTTCACCTCCCAAGCACCGTAAGGAAACCCTGGCCTCGTGTAGGCATTGAGAAGCGCAACGCTCGATTGCTTCACTAGCTTGGAGAAAGCGCTCCCGCAAATATCATCATTCCTCTGCGTCGCTTCCCACATCGTGAGCCCTGGCTCGTATCTTTCTAACACCCTCGACCCAAAAACTTTGGCAACCGATGATTCTTGAGGGATGATATTAGGCCACGCCTCTCTTCCACTGGTCCAGTGCCTGTCCCGCATCAGATACAGAAGAATTTGCATGATGCAAAATTTAGCATGTTATTCCCACACGCTTCAATTATATAAATCATGCATGCTACTATATATATAATTCCTCCGCGGTCATATCTCATGAAACAAACACAACGTAACATCCCAATCATCAAGACACTGCAAAAGACTCTCGGGTTACGTATCCAACCGGACAGAGAAGCTATGAAGCGAGTCAACCAACTTTTCTGTTATCTCATGAGGTGTTTGTGAAAATGCCTCGTGCAATTAGTGCCTATCCCGGTCCCTATCAAACGAATCGAAAAATTCCAGGGAGCATAAATGGAAAACTAAATAACTTCCCTCTTTCTTTCTTTCTTCACGATCGCAAAAAGGCTCTTTAAATTAAAATTTAAAAAAAAAAATCAGTTTTATGGTGGGCCTCTCTATATTGAACACAAGCTGTTTAGGAAAATGCCTCAAAAGAATCGGAAGTAGCTAGTTTTCGCTTACTGGGGAGAGCACCGGCCAGAGGTTCTAGTGTAGAGGAACCCGGGCCTCCTCCTCGTCAACATCGTCGCCGCCGCCTTCTCATCCTCAGCGCCAGCAGCGGTCAAGCACAGCAGCACCAGCAGCAAGACCGAACCCATCCTCCTCCTCCTCCTCCGCCCTCCTCTGTTTAGGGTTTTATCATTTTGATGCTAAAATTTTAAATTTTGAAGTTTTGGGAGTGTGAGGTGACTGCTGACAGCAGCAGAGCTTTTTAAAAAGGAAAGACAGCAGGCACGGAGCTTGACGCGTGAGTGGTGGAGCAGAGGCCGTAATTAGAAGGAGGCCCATTAAACGGGTATCAACCATGTCATGTGATCCAATTTACTTCACGGCCCAATTCCCAAATGATGGAAGTATAAAAAGGTGGAAAAGATGACGAGCTTAAAGAGAGAGAAAAATCGATCGCGATGGGACTCGAACCCACAATCTCCCGCTCCGGAGGCGAGCGCCTTATCCATTAGGCCACGCGATCAGACCATTTATAAGTGACTAGTTAAGGTTAACTAACATGTAATATTATTATGTCGCACCAAACGGAAATGAGGTGAGGTACAAAAATTAACTTCTTTTCGGTATGAGATTTTTTGAGGAGTAGGTTAAGTGAGTGGAGGCGAGGTAAGAAAAGACACAGCACAAAATCAATTCAAAAATTAGAGAGGAGTGTTTTCGTCGAAAGTTGTTTTCATTGTAGATTCCATTGAAACTTAATTTATTTACAGCGAATTACAACAAAAATAAGCAAATTACAACTCTCTTGGAAAATAACACAAAAATCGTTTATTGATTCTTGTTTTTGTGGGACTTTGCCTGTGCCGGGAACGCTATGGTTCGTGGACCGCCGAATCACAGATCGTGAAGAGGGGGTTTACTGATTCTGTTCGTTTATCGAAGTGAGAACTTGAAACGATATCTTATCGAAGTAAGATAGTCGTTCTTCTTAAAATCAAGTCAAAGCTTAATTTCAAGGCATTGTATGAAAACTCAAATCTGCTCTCTCTGCTCTGGAATGCTCGAAAATATGCTCGATCCTCGTCAGAAATGACCCTAGGGGGTATTTATAGCCTCTGGAGTTCATAACTGAAAAAACTCAACAAACGACGAAATTAGACTGGCGAGACAGTGTTTACTGTCTCACTGGGCGAGACAGTGTTTGCTGTCTCGACCCGCGAGACAGTAAATACTGTCTCGGAAACAGTAACCGCAGGCAGTTTTCATTTTAACTGCCTTCTCATGTTTCAAACTCCGTTATTTTGGCAGTTATTCACGTGATTTTCGCCCACGATGTTTTCCACGTCCCTTGGCAGTTGATGGACACGTGTAGGGTGTAGGCGTATAAAATTGCCTATAGGTCCCTTAGCACAGCTCGACGCCGATTTAACAAACGGACCACCAGGCGACGTATCCAAACAAGACCGCCAACGCTGAAGCCAAGCTATACGCAACGGAGCAGGTTAACGAGGCGACAAATCGCACCCAAGCATTGGAATGCATCCACTCGCACGCGGAATCAAACCAATGTTTAGGTGAATCACCGAGTCATCTAAACAAGAGCGAACTCGGATGAATCACGATCAAATCAACATCAATTCCGGACTCAAATTCAGAAGTTGGTTTACTGCCATATCAGGAACCCGACTCACTGCCAAATCTGGAATCAAGTCAAAGAGTCGTTGCCAAGTCAATCAACCACACAAGAGAACCAGAACCGGAAACAAAGGACGAAACGGACAAACACCCGGGGACTCGGCCGAAACCGAACCACCCCAGGGTGGCTCGGCCCAAGCCGAGCCACCCTGAGGTGGCTCGGCCAAGGCCGAGCCACCCTTAACTAGTTGATCAGCTTCCTTTGATTTCTGAACAAATATTCTAATTTTTTTTCAATCCATATCTTGTATAATGAAGCATTGAAGGCCATCCTCTTAATCTTTTGCTTAAACCTCGTGCCTCTCAAACAGGTAGAATACCATTCCAAAATACAGTTCCAATTACAGGAACGCCATCTGGATTGGAGCCATTCCATGATCTTGTTCCATACATTTGTAGAGAACTCACATTCAAAAAAGAGATGATCACGGCTCTCCATTGCAGCACCATTGCATAGACAACAGGAATTTGTAGGCAAAATCCCCATCATAGACAACCCGTCTTGCATTAACAATCTCTTTTGAATAGCAAGCCAGCTTATGATAGAATGCTTGGGGTAATTCAATCTCTCCCACATAATATTATACCATGAAACTTTGAGAGAAGTTGGAGATAATGCCCAATACAAGGCTGATGATTTAACTTTAGAATTCCTGTAGCAAGATCCAATAATATGCTTCAGATTATCAACTCCTCCAGTTAAAGTCAAGGCTTTATCCCTGATTTTCAACATTTGTTTCCAGAGCCAGGAATCATTTGCTTTAGCATTGACAGTCCAGACATCTCTGTGTTTTAAATAGGTATCGTGAATCCACTTGATCCATAGGAGCTCTTTATTCACATGGATATACCAGATGTTCTTCAAGGCAGCAGCAACGTTCCAGAGTTTAGCAGAGAAAATGCCTAATCCACCATATTTTTTCCCCTGGCAGATTTTCTCTCATGCCACTAGTGAGGGTTTATGCTTATGATCAGTTCTCCCCCACAGAAATTCTCTGTTCATTTCATCAATTCTATGAAGAACTTTCACTAGCAAGATGTAGCTGGATGTCCAAAAAATTTGGACACCTAAAATCATACTTTTTATAACATGTATTCTTCCTGCATAAGAGAGGTTCCTGGAAGACCATTTTTGAAATTGACTGTTAATCTTGTTAAGTAGAGGATGACATTCAATATAGGAAAGCCTTTTGCATATGAGGGGGACTCCAAGGTATCTGATAGGTAGAGTGCCTTCAGTGAAGCCCAACAAGTCATTTATAGAAGACTTAACTCTTTCATTCACACCACCAAAGAAAATATGACACTTATTAGGATTTTCTTCAAGCCCAGAAGATGCACTAAAATATTGTATACATTGATAGAGTTTTTGAACTGATATGATATCTCCCTTGCTAAAAAGTAGTAGATATCTTGAGTCTTTTACATTTAGGATGGAATTTGAATTGATTGTCATTCTTCAATAAATCCAAGCATCTCGAGAGATAATCCATACCCAAGATAAAGAGATATGGGGATAGAGGGTCTCCCTGTCTCAAACCCCTTTTACCTTTGAAGAATTCATAGAGTGGTCCATTTAAAGAAATGGAATAAGAAGGGGAAGATATACATGTCATAATCCAACCCACCACCTTATTTGGGAAGCCCAGGCCAATAAGCAGATCTCTCAAAAATTTCCAGCTAATAGTGTCAAATACTTTTTTAATATCAATACTAAGCATTACTCTATGGTGTTTTCGTCGAAAGTCACCTTAGTCATTGATTTCATTAAACTTTAAGCGTTACAAATGAATTCAAATAACAAAAGAACAAAAGATTACAACTTTCTTGAAAATAAACGCAAGATCCGTTTATCGGCTCTTGCTTGCGTGGGTTCTTCGCCGGTGCCGGGGTTAATCCGTGGACGACCTCGAATCAGATCCGGTTGCAGAAAATTGGGCAGAGCTTCTACCTCACCAAGGGGGTATTTGCTTGAAGTCCTGGAATCGACAAAGCGATTTCAGGGCTCTTCTCGAGATTAAGACAAAGCCTAATCTCAAGGAACGGACGTACGAGCTTCAGATCCTTCGAACGGCTTCTCCTTTGCTCCGAAGTTCACCGGGATCTCGCTGTCCTTTGCTGAAATTTCGTGCTCCTTCACTCTCCAATCCAGCAGCACCTCGTCCTCTTGATAAAATTCCAGATCCAGAAAATGGAGGCCTTTGGTTCATATTTATAGGCCTCAAAATGCGGTTATTTGGATAAGAACAAGGGATTTGGCTCTATCTTTAGTCAACAGCAGCCTAACCACGTTTGAGGATGATCTCAAGTCAGTTAAGAACCCCTGGAACCGATAAACCCTGCAAAAAACCAATTAAAAAACCGTCAAAACGTGTTTGGGACATTAGACTGCGCGGCAGAACAATCTGACCCGCGCTCGCGCGGGTCGGAATAATCCGACCCGCGCTTGCGCGGGTCGGAAATATCCGACCCGCGCATGCGCGGGTCGGAATCATCCGACCCGCGCTTGCGCGGGTCGGATTGATCCGACCCGCGCTTGCGCGGGTCGGATTGATCCGTCCCGCGCTTGCGCGGGTCGGATTGATCCGTCCCGCGCTTGCGCGGGTCGGATTGATCCGTCCCGCGCTTGCGCGGGTCGGATCATTCCGTCCTGCGCTTAGCGCGGGTTCGCCGACTTTCTCCCTTTTTTGGTTTCTTTCTTCCGGGACTTGTTCTTGTTGCGTATTCGTTCGATTTGTTGACTTGTATGCTTCATCGCGAGACCAATCGTCGAACACGCGTTGGTTAACATACGCGTGCTGATCGATGCGCGCGGGCTGATTGACGTGCGTGCGTTGACCGGCGCGCACGAGTTGGTTGACGTGGCGCGCACGAGTTGGTTTGACGTGCACGTGTGTTTGACTGACGCGCACGCGTTGATTGACGTGCGTGCGTTGACTGGCACGCACGAGTTGATTAACTTGCGCGCGTTGACCGGCGCACACGAGCTGATTGACGTGCGCGCGTTGACTGGCGCGCACGAGCTGATTGACGTGCACGCGTTTGACCGACGCGCACGAGTTGGTTTGACGAATCTTCTTGACTCGCCCATTCATTGCTTCGAGTTTCGTGCGGGCTCTTGTAGACAATTTTAGACGCCTACAGGGTTGAGTGTCCAGACTACCCGAGTCGCCCCTAGCGAGGGTGAGCTGGCGTGATTGATTAATGCTGACACGACATACGTGTCGACTCCAAGAGAAGAATTAACACTTAGGTTAATTGATGTCATAACAAATAGAAATCAAAAGTTTTGACAAGACAATCCTCTTTTATATGTAGCATAGATATAAGCAACTAATATGCCCTAAATGAAGGTCATTATGTCCTTTTGCACTCTTGATTGGCATTTTCTTGATATGACATATAAGATACAAATGATGACTTAGATGCATAACATGTCGGCATATCATCAACTATGAGCATAAGCGCATCAAACTGAAATATGCTGAAAAAGAAACCTTTTAATTATTAGCTAATAATTTAAGAAGTTAAAATGTTTTTT